TTTTTTTTTGTGGGTGAAAATGCGCCATCTGTATACGTTGGCGGGGCACCAGTGAAAGGTGATAGTGGAGGGTGAAAGCAGGACAATTAGCCCATCGTAAAGAATTCCGTAAGAATTAATCACGATGGTTTCCAGGGGGAACCACGTGGAGGTCGACCTGATAGGGTACATTGCTAGTACAACTGTTAGATCCCATAACTAACAATCCCTTTCCCCCCCCTAACTCAGCATTAGGTATTATGCACTTGACTTTTCTACAATTATGTCATTATATTTAAAATATTATTTTGTAATTTAATGCGATTTAAAATGGTTGTGTAAAAAACAAAATTGGTCTAATTTCAAAATTGCTTCTTAAAGTAAATGACATATATTGACAAATAAATAATCAATAAATGAATGCACTTCACGAAAAGTGTGGCGTAAATTTACTGGGTACAATATCTGAGTCCTCAGGAATGGCAACGCATGGGGGGTATCATGGGCGAAACAGTATACTCTGTTATGTCCATGGTACTGCTCATGTCTATAGGCGACGGTTACCACTTTCCATCAGGTGGACCGTCAGCTTGTTTGCCATTCTAAGTTGTATAAAAAAAAGTTGTGTTAAGTTGAACAGAAATTTTTACTCAAGTTTTTATGTCAAAGGAGTGATACTGCTATTGTTATAGACGTCTGTAGATTGTTTATGATGCTTAGTACCAGGCGGGCCGTATGTGGGGTTTTGTTTCATAGAAAATCTTTTTTAACTATATTGAAACCAGGGGAAATAGATTGTTAGCAATGGAGTTTGACAGCCCCATTGCTAGCACTATACCCTATTAGGTCCTCAAGGCAGTTCTCCTAGGAAACCATCGTGAACAATTTTTGTTGAATTCGTCATGATGGGCTAACTGACCTGCTTCATCCTCACCTATCATTTTTCACTGGTGTTCCGCCGGTGTATAATAATGAAGAATTTATCTAATCAATTGAATAATTTTTATAAATTTATTTTATTAAAAGAAAAGAAAGAAAGAAATTGTTATTGAATGAAATTGAATGTAATTTTTTTTTTTATAATGGGAAACAAAAGGCTTTTTTATTTATTTATTTATTTTATAGTCAATCGTACCCAATGTACATTAATGTCAAGTATGTAATCCCTAAATTGAAGGTTTGTATTGGGTTGACATCTGTCATATGATAGATGAGCGGCGACAACCGGTTCCCATACAAAATCCCATAAAAAAACAATATCCACTACTTCTATATAGATGTCTATACATAGAACCAACTGCAAAAAGAATAATAAAAATCGACCCAGAATTGGAAACGTAACCGCGCGAATCAATCATAAAAAATCAAGCGATTCGCCAACTTCCTTTTGAAAGTCGTTTAAAATGAATCACTTAAGTCGGCACACAAAAAGTACGTGCCATACAATCGCAAAACAATCTAATTGTGAACCTTCTCTTCATAATTTATACTGTGCTTCCACTCGCACTGTAGAGGCATACAACACAAATTATAAAGGGGGAAAAGGATTGTTAGCAATGGAGTTTGACAGCCCCATTGCTAGCAATATACCTTATTAAGTCGACCTCCACGTGGTTCCCCCTGGAAACCATCGTGAATAATTCTTGTTGAATTCGTCACGATGGGCTAACTGACCTGCTTCATCCTCACCTATCATCCTTCACTGGTGCCCCGCCGGTGTATACCGATAGCGCGGGCGGGGTTACCATTCCATTATCATCCATTTAAAAAAAAGAAAAAACACAAATTATAATTAACAAATTGGATCAGCTGTTACAAGCTGCTTAGGTAACTGTCTAATAATATCACTTTCGTATTTGTAATATTGCAAGGATTATGTCATACACCATATTTAATAGCTATTTATAGATCTAAGTTGCAGACGACCGGACAAACAACTATTCACCCGTCCTATGAATGTCTTCTGTCAGCCTGTTAAAGTTGTAGTTATTTGAGAATACTCGCGATAATATCCGGTCAGGTGCTTTTTTATGCAGCAGGCATGGCTTTTTTTTATTGGAAAAAAATGGAATGGTTACCCCGCCTGCGTTAACGGGATACGCTGGCGGGGCACCAGTGAGGGATGATAGGTGACGATGAAAGCAGATCAGTTAGCCCTAGAATTAACCGCGATGATTTCCAGGGGGTTATCTTAATGATAGGTAGCTGACACTTACAGGTTGGTTCAGTTCTGAAATTTTTTCAAAATCGGTTCACTAGTTTAGTTTTTAAATCAAAATTATTAGTTTTGTCACAATTGAAGTCAGCTTTTTGTGGGGCATAATATTCAGTTATTGCATTTATAAATTTCATTAGTGTCTGTGTATGTGAGCATGCGTGCGTGCATGCGTGTGTTTGCGTGTGTGTGTGCATGCGTGCGTGTGTGTGCATGCGTGCGTGTCTGTGCTTACGTGCGTGTGTGTACGAGCGTGTGTGTGCATGCGTTTGTGTATGTGTGTGTGTGTGTGTGTGTATTTGCGATTAAGGTGGCTTTTATTACGTGAATCAAAATGTCAAGTACATTTTAGTTATATTTTCTAAGAACAACAATAATTTTAGTACGTAGTTATTACAACGTGACGGAAATTGTCTTTGTAAACGAAAGAGTACCATACGCCAGCTTATTTACGTGGTCTCAAGTAATTTAGGAACACACTTGTGTAGGTAGTAGTGATGTGTCCAATCTGGTCGAGTCGAGTACTGACTCGAATATCTAATAGGTAATGGAGAATTCAATATATAGAACTCGGATATATAGTATTCGGATACAGTATTTGAATACTTACAGTACTAAAATACTACCAATACTCTTGTATTTATTTGTTTATCTGTTTCTATTTTAGCATTTTCTTAATAATTTAAAGAAAATTTAAAAGATTACTAAACATATACTATTATAATTATTTACGATAACTCATCATCAAGTAAATTTCAAACAAAATAAATTGAAAACGTACTCGAATCTCGTATTCGCAAACCCCTTACAAGTACTCGAATACTTGTGTAATTCGAGGTACGAGTCAGGTATCGATAATTTTTTAATGTATACTCGTATTCGAATTTAATATTCGAATATGAATAATCAAGATTGTATTTCACAAAAAAAAACCGACTTCAATTACTGAAAACCATGTTATTTTGATTTATAAACTAAACTATTCAACTGATTTTGATAAAATTTCTATGAAACCTATCTGTAAGTATATCCTTTTAGATAAGAAAATAATTATCCAAATCGGTCTACAACTAACGGAGTTATGAGGTAACAAACATAAAAAATAATACAATCAACTTGACAGTTCGACTCGAGGCAGTTCGCCTTCTTTTTGAAGTCACTTGAATAAGGCCAACTCGGCACATCACTATGGTAGGCACCTTTCAAATTGCTTCTCAACGTAATGCGCTCCCAACTCTCACGTGAACGCCTAAGTCCTTATTTGAGATATTTTGCATTTAACTTTAGATTTTTATGTCTTCACGTTAGGTTAGGAATAATTTGTTGTTGAACTTTAATACTATATTAATGTCATACTATTTTATTTATTTATTTAACACTTTATTGCACCAACATTACAGGTCCATCTTTTTTCTATTTTTTTTTATACAACTTAGAATGGCAATCAAGCTGACGGCCCACCCGATGTAAAGTGGTAACCGTCGCCTATAGACATGAGCAGTACTATGGACATAACAGAGTATACTGTTTCGCCCATGATACCCCCCATGCGTTGCCAATCCTGAGGACTCAGGTGTTATTCCTATGTACCTAGTAAATTCACGCCATATCCCACCCTTCAAACCGAAAGACAGCCATGCAAACACAACTGCTTCACGGTAGAAACACTAATAGGACAGAGGTGCCTAAGCAAACGACTTTTGTACAGTGTCTCCCATTTTACCATGTCAGAAGATATTTGCGGGTAACCATTGTAATGGCAATCATAGAAGGAGTGCCATGTTCAGTAGAAATGATCACAAATATTACGGTCATCGTTAATGACATAAAGTTTCGATGTAAATTAATCTTTAATAATAAATTATAAAGTTTTGTTTACGTTGAAATTTAAATTGGACACACTTTGGAAGTGAAGCGTGTTTTGACCGCACATCTGATAGTTTTGATAATCGATGTGTTTTATTGACAAACACCCGGTTTCTTTGTGGCTGATAAACCAGCTATCACAATCCCATTGCTAGCAATATACCCAACCAGGTCGATCTCCTCGCGGTTCTCCCTGGAAACTATCATGGTTACTTCCTGATGAATTCATCATGATGGGCTAACTGGCCTGTTTTCATTTTCATCTATCACCCTTCACTTGTGCTCCGTCAGCTTAACCCGTTAGCGCAGGCGGGGTTACCATACCATTTTCACCCATCAAAAAAAAATACCTCCACGCGGTTCTCCCTGGAAACTATCGTGGTTAATTTTTGATGAATTCATCACGATGGGCCAAGTGACCTGCTTCATCCTCACCTATCATCACTCGCTGGTGCCCTGCCAGTGTATTCCGATAGCGCAGGCAGGGTTACCATTCCATTTTCATCCATAAAAAAGCACTATCGCAAGATCTTATCTTATATCGCATAAATAAAAACGTTGATTAGAGCCAACCACCCGTGTTAAATACGAAGGGACTTTTCATTACCACAAAATTGAATATTCATAAATGGGCCGTCATTTTTCGTAATCCCATTCCGTCGATGAGCGCGCAAATCGCTCGTGCTACAGGCGCGTTTCGCGCGAGCTTTCGACTATCGAAGCCCCAAGGACCGCTCCCGAAATCGTGACATCGATTAGACGCGAACGGCGCACAGTAATCGAGTAACATGGTTACGAAACTATAAAATATTGTGGAGTTAAGTTACGTTACATAGGTAGGTATTACAGTTGCGAATTGTCCGTTCGCCGCGGTGCGATCGCCGACTCGCCAGTGGCACCGCCGCCCGTCGCGCCGCGCCGTGTTCTGTCCGCACGACCGTTGGCAGCAGTGCCGCGCCGTACGTCGCGTCAATTGCACGTGTATGCTGATTTGCGTCGCACTGCCGCGACTCGACTCGTGCTACCTGTGTGCCTGTGACCTGTGTTATCTTAAAAAGTACGTAAACAAATCAACATAACCGAGTAAGCAGTGTTGAGAACAACCGCAGTGGGAACTGCCAGTAACGAGTGCGTATCGAGAAACGGTTTGTTTGTAGCGAGCGGTGGTATTCGGAATCTGTTGCATTCTGCAGGTGCTTGGTTCTTTATTAATTGAAAAGTGATTGTGAACGAGGCCACGGCCGCGGCACACATGTCCGGCCCAGTTTTCACGATCGTTGCCTCCGTATGAGAATTCCACTATTCGTAGTTTCTTTGTTTATGGGGACGAAGGGTGAGATGTTTTCATCTGGATGCGGCGAATCTCGCATGCACTTGTTGATTCAACTCCGGCCGAGCTCTGCCAATCGCGATTTCACTGTGTTACAGGCGGCGAGCCGACTATTAACTTTCCATTAGACGAGACAATCGATTCTGATGAAATAGCAACAGTCTTTATTATTTTGCCAATTACCCTCACTTGAAATAACATCCTTAATAATGGAAGGGCTTCTAAAAATATTGACAATGTATGTAGGAGTGGAGAACTGATCAAGATAGGTTCCGTCATGCGTAATGATTGAAAGTAAACTGTTCTTGATTAGGTACGAGGCAAATATCTCGAACCGAGTAATTCATATACCTTATTTCAATAATCCCAGATACTGCTGGAATTGAAGTGTAGCCATTATAACTGGAATTGCGTAAAGAAACAGTGAACATGGAAGCTGTAGAAAATTGCCGGCGGAATCATTAATCTAGGGATTTGTATTCATTGCTACATTCACTGAAGGTACATCTTACGTAGGCACCGATGCGACTAACGTTTTCGGTACTTTTGGATATTGATTTAAAATAATGTGATTTTTTAACTTACAAAATATTTAGATTACCTAAAAATCAAGAAAAACAACTCCTTGTAGTCTTCTTTAAATATCCACTACACTCATTGATTGATTAATAGTTTTAATTATACATTTTTAATTGCATATTTTCTTACAGAAGGAAATGTTCTTATAAGGAGCAAATGGCATTCTATAATTTCAATCTGGCCTAAAGAAAAAATGGATTTAATGAGTTTATTATTCTATCAATTCTATCTGTCTGTCATAGCATATAATTTTATCTTTAAGATGTCTTGAGAGATGATCAGGAGAGCAAATATTGAATACACCGAAGAGAAAGAAAAGAAACACGAAATACAAGCACAGCATCTTTGCCCTAATATCTTCCATTTACATTATTCCACAATCATGCCAAAAGAATAATATAAATAAGACAAAGTGGCAACACTATCGTTATTTTAGAAAATCTTGCAAATTAAGTTAACATTTGAAATTCTAAAACCTCGATGACAGTAATCGAGGTATTAAGGGACTTTGAAACACAAAACGACGGCGTTCTGTTTATATAGACAAAGAACGTTCAATACAGGGAATTTCGTCTGAAAAGGAGTGTTACGCATAATTAAAATATATACGTAACCAAGTCTCTCATATAATCCTTTCATCGTGAGAAAGGTTGTACAACGTTACAATTGCATGATCTATTCAAGTAATATTATGCCTTCGTTCTATCACAATGTTTTCATTATGTTACATTGATAATGGTACATTATCATCACAAGGTACTTCCTTTTGAGTTTTTTCTTTTTTAGTTTTTATAATATATTCATTTATGCATACTCTACTAAGAGTATACTCTTTATTATTTGTACGAGCCTGTTCGTGTCGTTCTTAAAATTCTTTTTATTACGATTCCACTGTAACTTGTTTATATTATTGCAGTACAATTCCAGATCTGTGATCGAATTTAGTGTTATATTCGACCTGGACTTTTATGTATGTTTATTTATTTATAACTCTATGTGACTCGTTATGGTAAGTACTATGTTGCATGTCTAAATAATACCTGCATGCATGCATGCATTGCTGAGTTTGGATATATTAACTAGTGTAATAACAGATACAAGAGGCATAATGTCTTATTTCTCAGTTGTGGTAATGCGCGAGAATACCATGATTAACTTATTACGTTTCAAGATGCTTGTAGTTAGAATCTATACACATCAGATACCTTGATTTGCCTTGATATTATTCACTTATTTTGCTATTATTAAAGTTATTTCTTAACAGCGAACCACCTTCCGAATCAAATCCTTCTGAAAATGTCATCTGTAATGCTGCTTTTGGTAATTTAAAGGGTTTTTAACATAAATTTTGTTTAGAAATTCCGAATAGAAATTTAACCGTATTTGTAACCAATAATTGACAAGCAAATTACTTATATAGTTGCGGAATATGTTGACATCTGTATGTGTGTTAGAACACCATTTACCACTTTCCATCGAATTAGTCCTAAATTCCACACTGATTCGTGATTTTATTTACAATAACTTCAAATTATACAACTCACTGAAGTTGTGTAATTACAAAATTCTGATGGGACCTCATTCGTTTACTGATCGTCATTTTGCCCTTTGAATTTATTATCTCATAAAATATCCACTAACATACAATTATTGGTACTCGTATAGTAAGGACTCTGGTTTTATGGTTCACTTTTAGAGCAACGTTGGGATACGAGCCAGAATGCGATAACTCCACGAAACCGGTTGAAACGAGTTTTATGGAAGAAAAAAAATTAACAAGCTACGAACACAGATGTTATAAAATTAACATAATATTTTTACTAATCATCATTGGTGCGTTGCTTTAATGACATTTACACACATTAACCGAATCATTGGTGCGTAAATGTTGTTCTAAGAATATGAGAAAAAGTGAAGAAAGTAATCGTTTAATGTGAAATATCTTCGAGTCAAAGGAGTTTTCCCTTTATGCTACCTACATTATTATCACTTGCGTCTTATACATCACGTTCATACGAGCCTCGTCTGCTTCGCATTCTCAATTTGAGACCTTTTTTGTTATAGGAGACGTAAATTGTATTCTTCATGCGAAATCGTGAACTGAGTTTGCTCGGGTTGTTTCAGGTCTCAAATAACCTACAGTGCCGATTTTTGTCCAAATATTTTTAATAGTTGTAATTTTGAAAATAAAAAAGAACGGAAAAAAGAAAGGAAGAGCGTCCATATTGAAATTCAAATAATCACCATTTTGAATGCTTAATTCACTTAAAAAGTGATAAAAAACTAATAATAATAATAATAATCATTTATTTACAAAATATTGGTGATTGCCAGTAGCAGATCTTAAGTTATTGTTAAGTAATTGTTCAGCAATATTTACCATTTCGGTGTGTAAATGTTTTTTTTTTTTTATAATATCCAAAATAAGTTAAATTAACATCAACAAAACCAATTACTTCAAATTACAATCACTAAAACGTTATCATACGATAAGATTCTATTATTGATTTTATTGTTTGTGGTAAAATTTTGTATCTTAAAAAAAATAAGTATTTGTCACGTCTTCCATTTTTGCTTTTAGTCGTATGTACAATATGTTCTATAGTTAACGTTTTATACATCATTAGAGCACTTGAATCGTTCAAAATAGTTAAAAATTGTTTAATTTATCGCCAGTTTTCGTCTACTACTAACAAGCTTTAATTTTAGGACGAAGAAATTATATGGTTTCTATTTTAATTATTCCCCTTTAGAGCGAATTTTCACTTTCCAAATAGATCTAACTTCGAAATCAAATTATCGAGAATTACTAAATTAATATATTTATAATAATTAGTAATAAATACAGTATCTAATTATACCCATTCTGTGTATTATCCGTAAACTAAAAATAAACTTTTTATGAAATTGTACAATTTTCTTCGAAGAAGGTTGAAGGTCGGTACACAAAAAAAATATCTTCCTTCATCCTTTGTAACGTACGTTTTTCTTAGAGGGACAGAGATTTAAGAGGAAACTAAGAACGCCAATATCGTCGTCCTGGCGACGGGCGTTATTGAAAAGACTGACTGTGTCTTGTGGTTTTGTTCCTGTGGGTTGGAATAAAAAAATCCGATGAATTAATCTAGTATATCTTTACATCTTTCATCTAAATCTATCCAGTTATTAGCATAAATTATAAGGTCACAAAAATCTTCATAAATTTTATGATATTAGTATATAAAAAAAAAAATCAGCCGATTTGAGGACCTTTTTCTTTGAGAAGTCCGTTAAAAATAAAGATTTATTTAAGGCCACAAAAATAAAAGTAAACTACCCTCCCTTTTAGAAGTCGCTTAAGAAGTAAAATTAGCAGAAATAATATAATATAATATTTCTATATTATATATATTTATATATAATATAATAAATATGATAATGTACATATAATTTCACTGTACATTATAGTCTAAATAAATATCTAAAAATACAAATATAGGAGAAACTAATCCACTTACAAACTGACAAATTAATGCAAAGCCAAAATTGCTGAGCTGCTAGAATCCTGGAAGCCATATTTTTTTATTTGCAAAACTTATTTGAACTATAATGAAAAAGCGTTTTTGAAAATTTTCATGGAAACGAAAGAAGGGGCTCTATGAATGTTGAAGTAACGGTAAATAAATAGAATAGTTTTAATGATGTGTCGGATTATTAAATTAAAAATGTTTATTCGTGGATATCGATACGATTATGGATTTATTAGTATTTAGATCCGGCTATATCTGGATAAGTCTCAACTTTTTTAAAATACATATTAATATATTTCAATTAGTAATTAAGGTTTAGGTTTTTTAAATAAATAATTAAGGTATTAATATTTGTAACTTATTATTTGTTTTTTTTTTATTCTTTTTTTTCCAATATAAATGAGGCAATATTGTAAGTAAAAATTAATTAAAATGGAATTTAAGAGTATCTATTAAATCCCATTTTAATTAATACTATGTTTAGTATTTGTTAGAACAATGTGAAAAAGCCGTTTAAGATCCGCTAAAAAGTAACGGATATGGATACAGATCTTTTTCTTTCTTAAATATCCGCGGATACAATTATGAATGACTGGCACATCACTATACTCGTGTAGCATGTATATATACACGTATTTATTAATAGGTATTATATTTGCTACTGTGTTTAATTTCAGCCTTTCACGGCGATCGGTTTTTGTTTTCCTATTGTTTATATTATATTTAACTTTTTTAATATTTACGAGTAGACGTACGATTGCGAATTAATTTTACA